CCATTCACTACTTTTGTGGTGATGACTAGGCTGGGAGTTCATCAAGATCAAGATAATATCATTTTTTGTCTATAGGTCCAGCATGTAGAGCAGTGTCAGGCAGCACTGTGAGCTTAAGAAATATTGATTGACTTGACTAAGTGTGTGTGTGTGTGTGTGTGTGTGTATGATGTATATATGTGTGTTTAGCAAATAGTTTTTGCAACTGATGGGCTTTCTTTTTTAATAATTATAGTTTCATAAGAAATCACCTCCCATCCAATACAGGTTTCATATGCCTGTATCCCTTCACCTAGTTTCGCCTAAGTGGTAACATCATTGTGCATGACTGTAGTACAGTATCAAAACCAAGACACTGGCACAATTTGCAGAACTTATGCAGATAGCACCACTTTTACATATGCTCATTTGTGTGTGTTTAGTTCCATGCAATTTTGTAGTATGTAACCACTGCCACATGAAGAATGGAATGGTTTCATCCGCACAACTTTTATTATGTACCCCATCCCAGTTTTTAATAGTGACAATTTTGTGCTTTGCATTTGCTTGTGCATTAATATGGCTTACAAAAGAATTATGTTTTTGTTCAAGAAAAGAGAGAGACAATGATAGCATTACAGCTATTTCTCTATCTATAGGTTTCCCTCGCTCATGACTAGTTTAAATACTTTCTGTTTTAAAGAAACATCATAAAGTTGGTTGGTTTCCTCAAAGTTATGAATTGTCAACATTATCATAATGGGAGTTCACTCCCACTAATCAGAACTTACAGATCATAGGATATGTTCACATTATCCAGAAGAATGCATGAGGTTGCTAGGCATAAACCAAATGCTAAAAATAGGTGATCCACTATATTAATGAGTTAAATATTGACAAATATATCTTAGAAAATGATCTTATGAGCAAAATGTTGATGCAATCTTATGTTCAATGAATTGGTGAATCCAGTGGGTCTTCATGATGGTGAGGATGGATGCCTTGTATGTGATTGAAGCTGTAAAAGATGAGTTCATACACCATGTCTCAATGTGTGACTGCATGTATTGACAGGGAATCCATCCTTTGGAGTGAATACAGCAGGCTGGGTGGAAGATGGAACCACTATCCTATATAATAAAAGGGTAATATGCAAATTAACTGAACAGTGGAACCAGCGGTCGCTATGAAGCATACTGACCACCAGAGGGCAGACGCTCAATGCAGGAGCTGCCCCCTGATGGTCAGTGCTCTCCCACAGGGGGAGCATTGCTCAGCCACAAGTTGGATTGAAGGCTGGTGAGCTCAGCTGCTGTGGTGGGAGCCTTGCCCGCCTCCATGGCAGTGCTAAGGATGTCCAACTGCTGCTTAAGGATGTCCGCCCCCTTGGGGCTCTCAGAATGCTGAAGGGCACAGGCCAAACTGAGGGGATCCCCCCCCCCCCCCCGACTGCACGAATGTTGTGCACTGGGCTTCTAGGGTTTATATAAGGAAGGAGGAAACTTGATATCTATGGGTTGGAGGGTGAGGAATAGGTGCTTGTGCAAAGCATTTTGGGTGTTTTTTTTTTGTTTTGTTTTGTTTTTAATAGTTGGGAGTTTTAAAATAAACAACTGTACTTTCATCAGAGATAAAAATAGCATGACAAAGTTAACACTTGGGCTATACATTAATTAACATGAGACCTGTCTTGGCATGGCAGAGAAGGCACTGGCTCTCCCTCTCCCCTCCACCTACTTATTCTTTCACATTTTATAAAGCAATGGGAACCTCCTAGGAATTTCATCATTGGGAGTGAGAGGACCTTCTCCTGCTGACTCTGCTTCTCTCTTTCCTTCCTTCTCTGCCTCCTCCTGCCCCACCCAGGGGCCCCTGCTGGCTACAGCAAACGTGAAAAGCCTGTTTTGTAAAGTAAAGCTTCCAGGCAACTCACCCCAGGCCTTGGGATAAAAAAAAAATATCACCACCTCCTCAGTTTTAAAAACCTTGAGTCCACCTTGAGAACACTGTGTGCCTGTTGGGCTGTTCTTGTGTGTGCACTTTGAGCAGATCTGGGAGCCTGCTGGTGGGCACAGGGACAGCATGTCTGGTTTAGTGTCATGCAGGGCTTTTAAAAATAGCTTGTTTTTCATTTTTTAGAACATAACCTCCCTGTTCTGATTTATTAACAATCAGTTTTTAGCTCTTACATTTGTTACTGTGGGAAGTTACAAAAGGCTTTATCTTGGAAGAACTAACAATCACTTCAGACTTATCTGTAAGTGGGAGAGAAAGTGATTTACCAGTAAGCTACATATATAAAAGGTTAACATGCTAAGTGTTCCTCCTACCATCCGACCAGTTGCTATGACACACACTTGCCACCAGGGGGCAGACACTCAATGCAGGAGCTGCCATGACACCCACTGGTCAATTAAAAATAAACGGCTTTACAGACCTGGTGCTGATAAAGCAACACTCGGCTTCCCCTAAGTGGGACACAGGCCCTGCCACCACCCCAGAGCGACATACCACAAAGTCACAGCTAATGCTGCCAAGACCCCATGGTGCAAAATGTGGCCCCCACCCAAGCCTGGAGAAGGTCTCTGTGGGCACCAGGAAATGACATCACGTAGCAACACCTGTTTTCCTCTTCCTAGCGACTAGCCTCCTTAGACTTTCATCAGCCCAGGAACATGACTTGCTTTCTAGCCAGGTGAAAACATTTTACACTTGTGAATAGGAGACTCAGTAGAATCCTATTTCCTTTTAATTAGCCAGAAAACAGAGATTTAGAAAGTTTAGAAACTTGATGTGACTGGGAAGAAGTAAGAAATGATGGAACATGAAAATTACTTCAGGTTTTCTAAATGCACAGAATATAGTCAAACACTGCTGTAGTTAAATATTTTACCCTTTGTTCTCCCTGTGTGATCTACAATAATAATCTGCTTTGTGTTGATATTCACTGTTGTGTTGCTGATAATTACTTGAAAGAGAAGTTGGGGGTACTTCACTAGCCTGGAAAAAGTTTAGCTAAATCAGAAAGCATGTCTTATGAAGCAAGTTTATTTTATATATACATATACATATACATATACATACACACACACACACACACACACACACACACACATATATATGACGAACTTGACTCGCGCATGCAGGATACATATAAAGTTCTCACTGACATCAATCGCACACGTGTGTTTCGATCTGTCATTATTGATTGTGAATTTGGCTGATACTATTGTAGAGAAAGGGCAAGTAGCAATATCAAAATATTTATTCTAATTAATTTCCTTTCAATGTGCACGAACCCATGCACTAGGACACTAGTACAAAATAATGGGCCATAGAATATTAAGCACTAGAGAATCCATGGCTGACTAGATAGAAGTGGTTGGAGAGCAATGTGTGATGGCTTAGTGAATATGCAGGCCTTTGAAGAAGGGGGCATTCAGAGGTGCAGGAGTGGTGGCTGCTGTGCATGTTGGGTAACTAATATATACTCTAGATTTGAGGGATGATGAGGTGTCCTGGGTTCAAGCCCTTCCACTTACTAGATTTGTTAATTCAGGTTGAATTCCTTTTCTCACTAAAATCCCTGTCCTACACTAAGATGTCAATACTAAATAAAATAAAGTTTATGAAAAATCTCTATAGACTGTACAACTCTATACAGGTTTGAGTTATTGCTGTTTGGTTACCAGTCTTACAGATCAAATGTGTTTTTATTTTTATTTTGTTTGCGTACAATTTAAAACTGAAGAGCATCTGAAAGGATGCTGACATTTACCTGTCTTTAAGAGCATGAAATAATACCAAAATAACACAGTTCAGCTGATCACTTTAGGATGAAATATGTATTTCTCTTTCAACCCTTCAGGAATGATTTTTTTAAATGATGATGTTCATCTTTTCTAAAAATGTGTGAGGGAAAGATTGATTACTTTCAAAGAAGGGCTATTTACCAGTGTTTTGTTTGGCTTCAACCTGACTTTATATTTTTCTAAGAAAGATAAACTAATATAAACAAACAAGAAACAAAAGCTATATTAGGTCTTTCCTTCTCTCCCTGGACCATATATATCTATATATCGATAAATTTATAAACCTATAAATCTATAAATCTATCTATCTATCTCTCATCTCTCTTTCTCTATCATTTATAGCTACTGTTTTGACCATCAAAAATTGTCATTATCTCTTCCATGATTCAGTAATTAAATTAATACAAATGCATGTATTACTTCCAGCTAAGAGCTGCTATAGAATAAAAGGAAAAATTCTCAGCACTTTATAACAGGGACCTCTGAGGCCATTTCCCCCAAAATTTGAGTCCAGATGTGAAGTAAGCTATGAGATATACAGGCCCAGGAAGTACAATAGAGGTATATGGACTGGGATAAAAAAAAATAATTGCTAAAATATGAAGCCAGTGCATATGATGTACCTTTTTATGATGTTCTATTCTGAAAGCTTAGATAAAGCTGTTTCTACATTATCCTTTATAGAGTGATTTGCCTAGGCATTATGGTTTTTCAACGTGAGATATTTTCAGATATGATACTCTTAAGATTTCAAATACATCTCCCCAGTGCTTTACTTCAGAAAAAGGAATCAGAGTAATGTGCAAAAGGTACTAAAGTAAGATTTAGGTGAATATACTTTTATAAATCTATTTTAGGAAGAAATTTCTAGAGTGATACCAAATCCAGAAACCCCAAATAGATTGATATGCTTGACTGGAAAATTACACACATCTCTGTGATAAAAATGTTGTAAATTTAAATCCAAACCATAAGCTGGGGAAAAACAAACAAACAAACAAAAAACATTTGCCATATGTGATAGTGAAAATGTAATATTTTAAAGAAAGAAACCTTTTAGCCAGAATAAGGTAGCTGCCCCAAAATAAAGATGGGAAAAGATTTGAACAGGGATTTCACAAAATAAGACAAAGACCAGTAAACCAATGAATTAGTTTACTGCATGTAGTTCAAGTAGTATGAAGTAGGATCATTTTTTCCTTTTTTCAGATTGGATAAGGTTGAAAAGATGTCCATACCAATGTTGAGGAGGCTGTGGTGAATATGCTTGTTGAAACATGTGTAAGCTTATACTTCACTGGGGAAGGAAGTGTAAACATTTAAAATGTGAGCACCACCTTAGCTGGTTTGGCTCTGTGGACTGAAGTGTTTCTGGGTTTGATTCCGGTCAAGGGCACATGCCCAATTGCAGGCTCAATCCCCAGTAGGGGGCATGCAGAAGGCATTCAATAAATTATTCTCTCTCATCATTAATGTTTCTATCTCTACCTTTTCCTTCCTCTGAAATTATAAAAAATAAAATTAAAATGTGAGTACCCTTTGGACCAGAAATTTTACTTCTAGGAATTTATTCCAAAAATGTAATTATGAATATATGCAAAGAGTTGGCTACGATTATGTTCATCAGAATCCTTGTTAGGAAAGATAGTGAAACATTAAAAATGTCCAGCAGCAATAACAGTTGAATAAATATGGTACATTGGTATAAAGAACATTAGGCCTCTGTTCAAAATGAAATATTTTTTTAATTTATTGATAGGGGAGTTTGTCTACCAGGTATTTCCAACAGAATGAAGTGGATGACAAAATGGCATTTATGCCAAGGATATAGAGCAACATTGAAAATTTTCTATATGTTAGACACTTTATTAAGTGCTTTACATTAATTATATCATTTAATGTTCACAACATTCATCAGAGTTTACCATTTTACAGATTAGGAAACAGAATTATCAGGAGGCTAAATAGTTCAAGGTATCAGCAGTTGGAAGTATGGAGCCAGGATTTAATGAGCAAGTTCTAGAACTTCTGTTATGTGTATACATTTATGAAAGGGCATATTCCAAATATGGTAACAATGTTTGTATCTACTGTTTGCTACTAGATTATCAAGTGATTTTAATTGGTTTATAGGTAGAGAATAGGCATTATCTTTTTGAGAGTATGTAGGTGGTACTTTTCTAATCAGAACTAAAAGCAAACCTATTTTTATATGTTTGTATTAAACAATAAATAGTGATTTTTAGAAGGGCAGGCAGCACCAGTTTTAATTTGTATGTGTGCCAAGGGTTACAAGAGGAGATGAAGAAGAATGTATGAATGATTAGCATATATAGTTGGCACTTTTAATATTCATGAGGTGTTGCATATTAGGAATTTGTAATGGATGTTTTCTGAGGTACTTGTTAGGGTAGTTACCAAATAATTGTGGGTTAAATAAAAAACCCATTCAACATTAAACCCATGTATCAGTTTAAAAATATACATACATTTTTTTTTGGGAAAAAGTCATATCATAGTAATTTTATTTTTATTAATAAGCCATCAAGTATTTACTGAATACCTAGATTTTCTAGGAATAAAGATAAATGTAAGATTCAGAATTAGCAATCTAGTTGTGAAAACAAAACTTAGAAATAGGTGGTCCATACTTTCTCTGCTTTCAGATAGGGTAAGTTTAAAAAGATGTCTATAGCCAGGCTGTGTATATAATTACATGGTGAATTGTAAATTTCAGGAGAAAATATAGAATTGGGTCTGAGTTGTGGGGGAAGAGTTGTATATAAAGTAGATAAGGCTGATCATACTCATGTGACATTGGGACAGGATTTGCAGAAAGTCAGTGTTTAGTTGATACTGAACTCTGGCTGGGCAGTGGCTGGGCATGTGGCAGAAGCAAGAATGAGATGAATGGGGTCTAGCAGATAGCTCAGTAGTGGGCAGTCAGGAGCGTGGGAAGTAAAGGAACATGAGGCCAGATTATAGGGAGCTTCCATTGTAAAACATTGATGTAGAAATTTTGGTAGATACATTAAAAAAATATTTTTCAAGACCTTCTACAAAGCATAATGACATTTGTTTTCCAAAACATTCTCTTTAGTTTTATATATTCTCAGAGAAAAGTTCTTTAATCAAGATTTGGAAGTACCTATTACCCATCACAAGGTTTTATTTTCAGTTTTCAAACTGTATTTTGATGGCATATTGATAGTAGTATTGTATGGGTTCCACATGAGAGATGACGAGTCTAATTGGGGCTCTGCATGCTGGTGAACAGAGTTCTTAATTAAGAAACTGGTTTGGTTGGGGCTTTGCACATCATTCATTTTGACTTCCCATTTCAAAAAAAAGACTTCTATAATAATTCCTAAAGGGATTATTCCTAAGTATTTGCCCAACTTAAGGAATAGAAAGAGAAATGTGAACACTTGAGTTTGTTGCTTTGCTCAACATTTTTAGTAACCTGTTTTATCTGTTGTAATATGGGATGGGCAAAAGTAAGTTTATAATTATCAGTATATGCAACACAGTTTATTCTTGTATTATTATTTACTAAAAACCCAAGTGCACAAATTTGTGCACCTTGAAAGGAACTGTGGGCTGAGAGGCTGCAATGGGCTAGGGGTCAGGTCTCGGCCTATCCCCTGTGTCCCTGCCTGGCCCCTCCCACCATAGCCCCAAGTCCTTTCTGCCAGCAGCCCCGATTCTGCTGCCGCCTTTCCCATTCTCTGATGCACAGTGATTGGTGTCAGTACCAGCAGTGGATGTGAGCAGGACTGTCACCAGGAGCAGGTGCATGAAACAGCTGCCAGCCCTGATCACCCCTCAGGAGCAGAGGGAGGTGGAGAAGCCCTGAGGGGTGATCCAGGCTGTAGCCACCACTCACACCAGCCAAGTGATTTAGGCCAGCACCGGGATAGTACTCTGCCCAGTACTTTATGTCAGTGGGTATGAGCTGCAGGTCCAGTGATAACATCAGGTGCAAGCACCAGGTGGGACCGCAGTACACAGAAGCCAAGAATTTTTAGTAAACACCAGATGCTCGCTTTGATGCTAGCAACCAGCGCCCTGCCTTGGTCTGATGCTCCCACAGACCTGCTCCACCATTCTGCCATGGCCAATGCCTGCCATGTTCCACACTCTGCCACCTACTGCTGACGCCTGCCATGTTCTGCGTGTGCCCCCTGGTGGTCAGCTCACGTGATCAGTTGTTCCGCTGTTCGGTCTATTTGCATATTAACCTTTTATTATATAGAATTAACTAGAGGCCCTGCCCATGAAATGTGTGCATGGGTAGGGTCCCTAGGCCTATGGTCAAGGCCAATCTTTCCTGGCTGCTGGCAGCTGCCCCCCCCTCAACCCCCCCGCTGCCACTGCCACTGCCACTGCCACAAGTCACAGATCAAGGCCCCAGTGCCCCGCTTCTGCTGCCACCAGCCCCCAGTTCCTGGTTTCCCCATTGGGCAATTGGAGCCTGCCGGCTGGGGGAAAGAGGGAGGACTGAAAGGTTGGCTGGCAGGCCCCGATCAGTGATCAGGGCTCATGGGCTGGGGATAGCTCCTGCTTTACGTGTCTGTCCCCTGGTAGTCAGTGTGCATCATAGCCAACGGTAGTCCCACCGTCTGGTTGATTTGCATATTATTCTTTTATATATATAGATTATATTGTCTTCCATACAAGCAACTGTAAACCTACTTTTGCCATACCCTGTCTATATGTATAACTGAATGAAAAGTTACAAACACACACATGTTTTCTAGAAGATATGTACTTATTGGGAAAGGATCATGTAGAATAATCAATTACCAGTGAAGTAATTTAATCTTTGAAATGTTTTCTTAAAACTGTTTAATCTTTTATTGCACTATGGAAGAACTTCTTTAAATCTCTTAATCTAGAGTGGATAGTACTCTGCCCAGTACTTTATGTCAGGGACTGTATTAATATTTTATTTTACTTTGTTAAGTAACGTAAATAAAATGTCACTTGATCTTTTGCTGTGACTGTAAAAATAATATATAAAATATTAAGTAATATGTTTACATTATATTAATTATTTTATTGTTTTGTAATTTACTCTGTATATGTAAGAAAGTTATCTGTGACTTGAGTAGCATATTAAGATCATATTAAAAAAGTCATAAATATTTAGCTTGATAAAAGATATCAAGTGACATCTCTTTCATAGTAATGATTTAAATCAAGTTGATTATTTTAATTAGCAAAATAATGAACATTTTTGTTCCTCACACAAAAAGTATATTATTACCAGTAACATATATACCCTCTACATAAAATAAAAGATATCTCTGATGATAATTTCTCATAAAGCTATAATTAAGATTAATTCAGTTCTCCCATCAAACTGAATCTTATACTCTACTTGATATTGAACACACAGTGTATTGTTGGCACAACTGGTAATTTAGAACAAAGTAGAAAACACTATATCTACATCTCTAGTTTAATGCACAAAGCCATTCAAACAAAAGAAATTACTGGAATGAAATTTAGGTCACATACAATATCAAACACAAGCTAGACTGATTGAGTAAATAAAAGAGGGAATTAGTTAAGGAAGGCAGAATGGAGGAAGTGAGAAAGAATTTTGAAGAGCTTAAACATTGAGATTGGTGGATGAAGGAAGATTTCCATTTGGAAGGCATGGTAAATTGTTGAGTCTGAATAATCCATCAAGACCAGGACTGTTTAACCTAATCTTAGTAATTCCAGGATATGCATAGTGCCTTGTACATATTGGTATACGATTCTTTTCCTCTTCTTTCTTCTCTTTTTTATTACAAATAGTGCCTTTTAGATGTTAAAATGGGTATATAGTAGATTTTAACAATTTACAGTATAATATAGTGGTGCAAAATTCGGTTTGAAATTAGAGAGTTTGGACTTGAGTCCTACCTTAATCCTTTGCTTCCATCTCTGTGATATTAGGCAAGATCTTTATCTTGAAGTTAAAATTGCCTCACTTATAAAGTGGTATAGGAGGAGTACTTATATCCAAACTTATGATTTGTATGTGATAAATCTTGCAAAGCCTTCAGCACTGTGTTAGCTTAAATGTCACCCTTAAATAAAAGAGACATGGAGCTATGGCAGAATGCTGCTTTTGTGGTTTGCATTAACACACAAATATTTCCTTTATGGTCTGCCATAGGCTTCTAAAATGTGATGCTAAGTGGCTTGAATATTATCCCCAGAATGCAGTTATTTTCTCTTTAAATTATATTAGCTGGAAGTGGGCCAGAGTCAAGGAGAGGGTAGGAGGTAAGCAAATGACAACCTGTTCTGGAACAGTGGAGATGTTCAGA